AGAGAGGAGACGTCTTAAGTGAGCCTTATAAAAACAAGTAGAACCACGACATTTGTGGGTTGGCACACAAGAGACTAGAGCATGGAAAGTCATAAACTTGGTATTAGGGATAGAGACTGAATAGATGAGGCGGCGATTGGAGCTAGTTGGATGATAGTAGGTTTTACCAGAGACATGGTCCATGTAGCAAAGGCATGACCATGACACTTACTCTTAGGCTTTAGCATCTGATTAGTCACTCAGACGCAGGGGTGGGCGAATAACACCTCGAGTAGCACAGATGGGGGGGGCAGGGGTCGAGTAAAATACATGTACCAGGGAGATAGCAAACGGATTCTACGGGGCGAGAGGGAGACTCTGATAGGATTCAGGGAAGGAGGACTAGGTAACAATATGGCAGAGTCTGGTCAACATTCCCAGCAGAAAGATAAAGGGGATGAAAACGACAGCTTGGAGTGTGAAGGATTTTCATGAATGCCTCTCGAAGGAGCACACTACATCGAAATAAGCAGTTACAAATTGTAACAGTGAAGCTGATAGGAGGATATAGGAACTGTGAATAGCTCAGGGCAGAAGGGGAGATACCATAACTGTTTAGCACACGTTTGGTCAAAGGATGGGCTTCACATATCTCTTTAATGAGCTGTAATATGGTGCTACGAATGGCGAGACTCACTAACGATGCTGGCGAAACGTCTGGGAATGTAGCACGTATACGATCGGACTTTGGAAATGATGATGCATACAATGGACTCCGGACTATGTGCGTTCCTCTAAGTCTTCCTACCAATATGACCAAGTTGCAAAAACAAGGTCAAACAACTATACAACTAAAGGAGACTGTGACAAAACACAAAAGGCCACACCAACTTGGTCTTCATACCTTTGATTATCTAATAATGTTTAAATCTTGCATAAATATGCAATTTGAACCTTAGCATTATTTTCTATCGCATTTAAAATCTTGCACTGGCGTCAGATGCTATATGTACAGATTGGACATTTTATGATTGGGGAAAAAGAAGTCAGGAAAAGACGATTAAAGTTAGAGGAGTCAGACCTGGAATTAGCCGCAAAAGGTACCTACGAGAGTCCGTCTTTCGGATTGAAAATGAAAGGCCAGAAACCTGCAAATTACCCATCATTAGATGTACAAGGCTTAAGATCCATGTAAAATGCTTCAGAGTTTGGAAAGCGAGCCGGGAAATACAATATCTTTTGGTCCCCAGTGTGTGCTTGTGCGCGCTTGTGTCGCTCCGATCAGGTTGTGAAAACAACATCAAGACATCATCACAAAGCTTATGCAGACTGCGACCAACGAAAGGTCACACCATCTTGGTCTTTATAGCCACGAAATATATTTTCATCTACCCAACAGTGTATCTGCTAAAGGCTTAATATACGCTTTTTAAAAAGTCTGAGAGACAGGGGGGTAGCCATTATCGATCAAGACATATTCCTGGAGGCATAATACTGGTGTTTTTCATTTTCCAAATCAGCCAGGACACTGTAAATCAGAATTCGTTAAATTTCCACTTGCATTGTCTACACTGGATTTTCGAACCATTTCTGCTAGGCTCACCCACTTTTTGCACAAATTTTGCGTATTTCCCACTTGTCTTATCCTCTAAATGAAGAAGATAATTGAGAGTTATTATAGCTTTTTCTTTATGAGTTTACTTACATTTAATTTTTTAAATATTTGCCTATGACTACGAAAGGTAATTTTGTTCTTTGTCCTTTTGGCTGTCCACCCATCCTTTATTTACTATCCTTGACCAGCCCAGCACATTTTTTTGGGACACATGTGCTCCTCACGCTATACTTTTGGCCCAAGGAGGCGGTATCGTTGACCTGAAGGTTGCTCTATCTCTGGCAGATCAGGCCCTGCGGATGGACTTCAGCTCCGGTGTGACAAATAACAGCTCCACTGCCAAAAGCGTATCTGATTTGTTCAGTTTCCATGATTCTCTCTCTTGGTTGGTAGTTCGCCTGGCCTCTGTGCAACTCAAGTACCGGTCTCTTCCGACCGAGCCTCCAGCTGGGGATAGCTGCTCTTCTGTGAGTGTTGAGATCTTCTTTTCTCTATCCATCCATATATTTTCGCTTTTTATTCATCCTTTGATTTGGGTAAAGGATTATTTCGTGTGAGTTCTAAAATCAGTCTCATTTCGAACCAACTGGGTTGAAATCAAGGCCGGTGAACCTCGTTGATGCCATAATTGATGCATATTGCTTATTAAATACATTTTTCCTTCTGACCCTGGGTAATGAACTCTCTTGAAGGACATTTCTACAATTAGTCAATCAAGCTAATACCTGGTTGCTACAATAACACAAATGTTATTCAGAATGGCTCGTGTTTGCTAGCAACAGAATACTATCTATCTAAATTCTTTTTTTACGAACTTGTAAATGTAGCAGAATCACATTCTAACTCCAATAGCATTTGGGCTTGACATAAATGCAAAGTTTGTGTGTAAATAGCCAAGGTGTAAGGACTTCATGTCAATGTTGCCAAGCCGTGTTGGTCGCACATCATCCTAATAGAAGACTTATGGAATGGAAACTGAAGAGGAGCTTCAATCTTTACTTTGTCATTTAAAGTGGCTTCAACCCGTCAGGAACTGAGTTTCGTTGAAATTAAATGACGAATTGAGACATAAATGTAAAGATATGTGTTCACCATATTTAGTCTAAGGTGATGAAGGATTGGTAGTTGAATTTTCCCACAAGCATATGAGTGGGAACGACGTTCCCATTGAATTTCACATAGCCTTGTTTTCTCAAAAGGTATTCTCCTCCAGGGTGGACTGCACCTAGGGCTTATCAACTCTTCCAGCTGGACTCGGACCATGACAGTGTAGTGTATAATATCGACAAGTCAACCACTAATCCAAATTGTCACAAGTGCCCTTTGGCCACAGGACAGATGTGATTTTCATAGAAAGCCAGACATTTTTCCATATCACATTCTTGGGTGGGATTTTCGATTAAGCGAACAAACAATTGCTATAGCAATCGACGATATGAACACATCTCAGATATATGATTGATTGGTAGTTTCGAAAACCTACGCAAAACGGAAAATAAACACAATTGACTTGTAGATACGAAGGCCAATATGGAATTGGCTACTGTTTGGTCGCAGCCTTCGTTAGCTGTATAGTGTTGGTTTGGCCTCGTTTTCGCAACTTTTGTGGAGCGTCAGCAAGACCTTGTGATCCGCACCTACTCCTGCGTCCTCTGTCGTAGTATTCATAATTTCCAGGATGGGACCATTGTCTTGGTACATTTCCAGACATTTCGCCGGCGTCGTTTGTAATAGGCGGTGTCTTTAGGGCAGAGTTACAAATTGTCAGAGACAATTGAAGACAATTAACTTTACACCTTTTCGGTTAAACAGTTTTGCATCACTGCTCGCCTCTACTTTTTGTCTTACCTTCTATTGCTACATCTCATTCCCTCGACCCCACCTCCTATCTCTCAATTAACTATTCACACCATTCTGTGCTCTCATGTCCTCAAATGTCGCCTAAGTGTGTGTTGCTATAAGTGGATTTAGTGAAGCATGGTCAACTTCACCACCAGCTTTAGATGCCTTTTGCAGGGTTTCTGACTTTCATTTAGCCCTCTTCTTTTTACCCCACTTGCCAATTAGTCTCTGCTACACATAAAAATCACTGTTTGGTTGTCTGAACTCTGCTTGTCTACGCCATATTCGAGGATTTAGATTAGATGATGCGCATGTTCATGCCTAGGAATCTTCGTCTCCCTATCCTTTAGACCAATCACCCAGCTTTTATTTTTCTCATCTCAATCCATAATGTATCTCATTCTTCGGGGCCCTGTGTCCGGCTGAATTCGGAACCACTGGTGTGAAAATGTACCTCTTTCTTTTTCCATTCCTGAATCGCGCAAAGCATACTCTTGTCTATCAAGTTGACAATTATATCTAGTCCTAAGGTTCTTGTCATTTATTCAAGTGTACGTTGGGTGGTATTCCCCTTCGTCAGGCCTGTCATCTGTCACCTCTCATCAATGCAAGCACACATAAAATGCATACAGGCACGCACACACGCATACTGGTCACCTATATCTGGAACAACTATACCTCTAGCTCTTAATTTCTTATCCCACTTCCCACACTTCGAATCACACCGGTAAATTTTCAAACCGATTCCTCGTTTGACTCATTTCACTGCAATCGCCTTTTCGTGACTTCCCTCCTCCTTTTTGATGTCTCTTCCTGCTGTTGAAGAGTTATTGGTTCAGGCGTTTTATTTTGTTGGCCTCGCTGAATCTCCAAGTC